TGGGGCTGCCGCTGTGGTGGAGGACGACCGAGACCTACCGCGCCGCTCTGCCCTACGCCGACATCGACGGGCTGGGCCAGCTGCCGGTGAGCGCCGGGGCTCCAGGACGGCGGGCCCGGGGGCTCGGGTGCCCGGGCTGACGCCTCTGCTCAGTTCCAGCTGGCCGTGCCCGTCGCCGTGGTCTTCGCCCCGGGGTCGGTGCCCGGGGACCTGCCGAGGCCGCTGCCGTTCAAGGACGTGCAGGAGACGGAGATTTCCGTGAACGGTGAGAGACCCCTCGGGCTGTCCCTGCCCTCCTGGGTGGCCTCGTCCTTCCCCGGGGGCCCCTGCGTGCCCGCGGCTCCTCTCCCCAGGAGCCTGGCACTGGCTCTCAGCCCGGAGCTCCCCGCGTCCGCCAGCATCATCCCGTGCTGAGCGGGCAGGGCAGGGGAGCGGTGGGGACAGCGAGGTCCCCAGGGTGCCGCAGGGAAGAGACCAGCTCCCCTCATGCCCTGCTGGCGTGGGGCTGCCCTGCCCGCCAGCCCAGGCCACGTGCTGGGGTGGGTCGGTCAGCTGAGGTGGGAGCTGGTGCCCAAAGGACCCTGTGGCACATGTCCCCCTGGGGCTGTCCCTTGTCCCTCTTAGCGCCTGGCTCCTACAAAGGGCCTGGTGGCCAGGACTAGCGGCTTCACTGGGGCTTTCTCCCCCAGCAGTGAGAACCAGTGTCACATCCTGCTACCAGATGGTCTATCGCAGCACCACAGCTCAAGAGGAGGCAGCGCTGGATGTGGCTACTGCACGAGGTACTGGGGCAAGGAATCGCGGTAGCTGGGGTAGCTCTGTGGGGGAGCAGGCTCCTCTTTCTGAGGCTGGTTGAGCAGAGGACTCGGCTTTGCTGCGTCTCAGGGTGGGACAGGGATTGGAGTGAAATTCCCAACCCTCCTAATGCCTCTTACTTCCCCAGAGGCTGACGCTGCTCTGCACCCGCTACAGGATGCCTCACTGGGCTCTCTGACCGTGTACGTGGTCCCTGAAACCTCATGTCTTCTGCCTCAGGTAGGGAGCAGCACCCTGCAGTGCCAGCCTCTGCGTACTTCACCCCTCGAAGGTGCCCTGGGCGGAGGCATCCGTCCCCAGGCTGTTGCAGGTGGCACCGTGCCGTCCTCCAGCGCGTTGGCAGGAGCCAGCCCGCTCCTGGCCCTCACCCCTGCCCCTTCCCCAGGGCATCAGCGTCTACGTGGGGAAGCACCGCAGTGCCCTGGTAAGGGCTGGGGGGGGCCTGGCCACCCTCCACACCCGCCTCCGGCAGCTCATGCAGGTGATGTCCTTCACGGACAGCTCCATCGCCGCCGCCCTCTCGGACCGCATGCCTGGCAGCCAGCTTGGCCCTGACGCCCGACGGCACTTGAAATCCAGCCTGGGTATGGACGTGAGCCCCAGCCCCGTTCCCTGACCCGGGAAAGGCTGCTGGCTCTGGGGGAGGCGCTGTTCCTGCTGTTCCTGCAGCATCCCTGGATGTCTTCTGGGGTAACAGACGCTGGGGTCTTGTCTTTGCCGCTGGCAGTTGCTCTGGGCCAGGACCCGTGCTGTGATTGCCGTGTGTTGGGGTACTTGTGCACAACCCCGCATCGGGGAGGGTCAGGGAGGAGAGGATTGGGTCCTGCTGCTCTTGGGAGCTCTGTCACGGCTGCGTGCCAGCCTTGGCATCCACGGGCGATGGCCGTGGCAGTGCCACACAGGCTGTGGGTCCTCGGCAGGGTATGAGATCACCTTCAGCCCGCTGAACCCTGACCCCAAGTCCCACGCCGTGCACTGGGACATCGAGGATGCCGTGAACCGCTACGTGCAGCCTGTCCTGGACAAACTGAGCTTGGTGGCCAACTTCTCTGTTGACTCACAAGTGAGGGCTGGGAGAGGCGATGAGGAGAGCCCAGCCCTGGCCTTCCTGGGTGCCCCGGGGACGCGCTTCTCTGCCAGCAACGTCTTTGTTGTGTGCCTGCAGATCCTGTACTACGCTGTCCTAGGAGTGACGCCACGCTTTGACAAGGAGTCCTCCAGCTTCCTCCTGAGCGCCCACAGCCTCCCACACGTCATCAACCCTGTGGAGGCCAGGCTGGGTGAGCACTGCGCTCCTGGCTCTGCTGAGAGAGGGGGGACAGCTGTGCCTTTGGCCTGTGCCCCTTCCCTCCCCACAGCACCGTGCCCTGCCTGCCCCAGATGGGAGCGAGGGTGGCTGAGGCCTGCTGGGCTGGCAGTGCTGCTTGGGGCTTGCCGTGGAAGGAGGAGCAGGGCTGCGCTCTGCCCCAGCACTGCGTGCAGGCCATCTGCTCTCGCTATCCCTGCCGGCTAGGGGAGTTCTTTGACTCTGTCCCACTGCAGGTTCCAGCGCTGCCTCACTCTACCCCGTGCTGAACTTCCTGCTCTATGTGCCAGAGCGCTCCCACTCCCCTCTGTACATCCAGGACAAGGACGGAGCCCCAGTGAGCACCAACGCCTTCCACAGCCCCCGCTGGGGCGGCATCATGGTACGGGGCCATGGGGGTGCTGGCAGTGCTTGGGGAAGGCGGTGGCTCCCCATCCCCAGCGAGTGCTGGCAGCCCTGCCAGCCCCAGGGCTCCGGCTGTGCCTCGCTGACATGCTCTCCTGCAGCTTTACAACGTTGAAGCCCCTGCTTCCCCCCAAGCCTCTCTCCCACTGCATGTGTACGTGGACATGGTGCGAGTGATGGAGGTTTTCCTAGCCCAGCTCCGGTGAGGATGTGCTCTTCCCTCCCTGGGCCCTCTGTATGCTCTCCTGGCACACGTGGAAATCAACGGGGTCAGAGCAGGCTGTGCCTATGCAGCTCGTTTGCTCCTCCATGGGCTCTGGGAGGCTGAGGGTGGCTTTTCGTGGCCTTTGAAGTGCTGACCATGGACCAGCACTGCTCTCTGGCCAGGAGTGGGCATATCTCCCATCTCCTGGGGTGGGAGACTTGTCCTGCCCCTCCTGCAGGAGGCCATCAGGTGTGGGTTGAGGCCTGCCGAGGCTGAATGCAGCAGGGAAGGGGAATAGTGGGGAAGCACATGTGGGACTGCAGGCTTGTGATGCTGGCTGGGACCTTCCCCTCTATTCCCAGGTTACTGTTTGGGTTGTCGCGGGAAGAGCTGCCCCCTGAGATCCTGCTGGAGAGCCCAGGGAACGAGGGGCTGGCTGACTGGGAGCTGGACCGCCTGCTCTGGGCCCACACCGTGGAGAACATCGCCACCGTGTCCACCACCTTGAACTCGCTGGCCCAGCTCCTGGACAAGATTGGGAACATTGTCATCAAAGACGACGTTGCCTCTGAGGTAGAGCTGGGGCACTGTGAGGTGGGGAGCAGAGGGGGCCGGGCGTCACCGTGCCTGTGCAGACCATGAGCTCTCGCTGGTGTGGTGCTGCCCAGGCCTGGCAGCGAGCGAGGCGCTCAGGCTTGTTCCAGGGACTGACTGTTGGTGTTGTTCCCGCACAGGTGTACCGAGCAGTGGCCTCAGCACAGAGCGCCATGGCTAAGCTGGCCACAGGCCACCTGCACTCAGCTTTCCAGGCCAGCAAGGAGGCAGTCACCTCCTCTGAGCGGGCCTTCTTTGACCCGTCTCTCCTCCATCTCCTCTACTTCCCTGATGACCAGAAATTTGCCATCTACATCCCACTCTTCCTGCCCATGGCTGTCCCCATTCTCCTCTCCCTGGCTAAGATCGTCCGGGAGGCCAGGCAGCGTAAGAAGGAGCCCACCAAGATAGACTGAGCCCATCGCCATGGTGCCCTGTCTTTGGGGCTGGGGCTGTCCCCACCTCGTGCAGCATGTTGTCACGGACTCACAGCCTGAGAAGGCGCCCCAGAACGGGGTCAGGGCCAGGCCTGACACCTCAGCTTGGGTCTGCCCTGGCCAAGACGCGGGAGTGGGAGGGGCGGCGGCCTTCGGGGGGGGGGGAGGGCTCCGGCTCGGTGC